CTTCAGGTACAATACATTCAGGCCCTGATAGCAGGTTGTCTCCAACTAAATCAGTATTTTGAGGCTAAGCCATCAGCACCACGAAATTCCTTGATTGGGAACTCCTGAATGTTGGAGGATTCTAAATGTTTCAGTCTCAAATATTGGAAAATATTTGTTCCACGTTAATAGATCAAAGATAAATTAAGATTTACAAAAATATTTAGATCTTGTAGTGGGAGATTGAGACAATGTTTGTCCTTGGGGAGCACTTCCTCAGGAGCATTCCAGGGTTTTGAGTGGGCTGTCAGAGTGACTCATGATCTTGCTCATATTTTCTATGCCTTCATTTAAGTTCATATGACTTTTTCAGTTTAAAAGAATAAAATACATTCCATGCCCACCATGCCAGCCCCACCCCTGGGGTGCATTGAGATGGTGATTGAGACTGGGCATGGTGGTGCATGCCTGTAATTCCAGCACTTTGGGAAGCTGAACACAGGCGGATCACTATGAGTCTTATCTACACAGTGAGACCCTGTAGACCCTTACTAAAAAATACAAGATAAATAAAATTAAATAAAACAGTAAAAGACATTCACATTTTCAACAAAGTGCAATGATTATAACCAAAAGCTGATCCTATAGTGTATGGTACACACAACTCTTCTAAAGGGAGAAAGAAATAATGTTTTGTGAATTATTCTGAGCCCTTTAGTGACCAGAACATAAGAGAAGGTCCCGAATATTCTTAATGTGCATACAGAATATAAAGTAAAAGCAGATGAAGACATGAGACCAAAATTAATATCTAATCCTCAGAAAAAGTCACTGGAGTTGGCATGCCTTACCCACAGGTTCTAGATCTGTAAATTGAAATAATGTGGACAAATACACTTTACATAGATTTATCTTTTTATTCATTAAATTATGCTAATTTAAATTAATGGATTAAAACCAGGCATTGTGTCATGCTACTCTAATCCCAGAATTCCCAAGGCCATGGCTGGAGGATTGCTGCATGTTCAAGGCCAGCCAAGGCTATACACTGAATTCAAGTCCAGCCTGATCTACATAGTGAAACACTGTATCAAAAAAATAAATAAATAAGAAATAGATTTAGTATGCATCTGCCTAGAAAACTGGTATTCTTAACTGTAGAGATGTGGAGAACTTTTGGAATATAAAATCATACGTAGAATTTCAAATGAATTTTAAAACATTAAAATGCTAAATGTAGTCTCTTAGGGAAATTTCATTAGCCTTTCCTTTTCAATCCTATAATATTATTTACATCACAAAATAATCTACATGATTACAAACAGCACTAAGTTTTATATTTTTATATCCCATTCATTTTCAGAAAGAAATAGTGGGATGAATGAAATCATTCTAAATTTGAAAATACAGCCAATCACATCCCCACTATCAGGTCAGCCTTGGTCAGAGGCACACAGATTCCTGACAAATCACCTGCACCATGGTAAGGGCAGTGAACATGGCAAGCACCTGGGACACGGCAACTGGCTCCCCTGCAGGAGTCCAGGGTAAGTCCGCTCTAACAAGGGGAATCACTTTGCCTGCAAACTCCTATCATACAATTGGTTCTGTTATTTAACTACAGACTTTCCTCCTGTGGTCTAAAGTACAAAATCTATAGTTACCACAGTTTGCCAATTTCTAAATTGTGCTTGATACTCCCATTATTGATCATTGGACTATTGTAGCTAGGATGTGATGTCTGTTGTAATCAGTTTTTTGTTCCCCCTTGTTTAACAATATTGGGCCACTCTGGGGTAATAACGTCAGCACAGCGCTACACCAAAAACCTGGGGCTGGCTGAGTCAAAAGAGATCAACTTCTGACTCTCAATTAATTGAGAAGACATGATATGAGGACATAAATAAAGAATCTCCCACACAGAAAATATCTTTGAAGAACAGATGCTTCCTAGAAAGGACCTGATACTAGGACTTGATACTACTTGATGTAGCTTCCCACTACTAAAAATCAAAAGGAATCATAACAGAAAATGAAATAAAATATGTTTAAAAGAGTAAATGTCAATACAAAGGAGCAAAGTGAATCTCAAATCTCCAAACCACCCAGAGTAAATCCAGGATGCATGGACGCAGAAGAAATTGGAAGTGCAAATCATGGCAAATTCTCAACACAAACTATTAAGACAGTGAGTGAGACTGCCTGGGGCCTGCCAGATCCCCATTGGACCAAGAATGCAGGCCCGGCATGTGAGTGAAACCATCCAGGACCTGCTGGATCCTAAGCTGACCCAGAGCACAGGTCCAGCATGTGAGTGAGAAGACTCAGGGCCACCAGATCCTCACTCAACCCAGAGCACAGGCCCTGCATGAAACCTGCAGCAGAACTCCCTGCAAAGAGGTTAGAGGCAATACCCACCCAGCTGATTCAGGAACAGATCTTGCCACTGGTCAGAGTGGCACAGAGGGTTCAACTTCAAGGGCTGCAGCAGGAAGAAGTGGAGCACAGCAACCAGATCCAAGTCACACCCACTTGGACGAGTTTGAACTTGGTAGATCTGGGCCTGGTGCTACGGTAATAACTCTAAGCCCTACACCGAAGGTCAGAAGACAGTGCGGTACAAAATGACAAAGAGAAGGAACAAAATGCAGTCTCAGGCCCCGAGCCCATCCAGAACAAATGCAAAAGACACTAGAACAGAAGAAATTGGAAATCACACACCTGAAATCTCTGAAATAATGGCATGTGAAATAAAGAAACAGCTGCTGAAAGGTATAGAGGAAATCAGACCAGAAATAATTTCTGAAGTAAAAAAAGAAATGATAATAATGAAAGAAATACTAAGTGCTTCTAAAGAGGACACTGATTTAAAAAAGTAGAGCAGAATATAAAAATGATGGAATCCTTGAATAAGCAATATAGGAAAGAAATAGAATGCATGAAGCAGATCCAAAGTTATACACAGGAATTTGAAACCTCAATCACAAGCTGGCAAAACCATTTGAATAAAAGTGAGAATAGACTCTCTGACTATAAAGGCAACATTGCAGCTAGTGAAAAAGTAAGAAAAGATCTCTTAAAAACAACTAGGATGCAGGGAAAAATAATTCAATACCTGCAAGACGATACAAAGATGAACAACATAAGACTAATAGGCATCAATGAGAAGGAAGGAGTCAATACAAATGATATGAAAAGAATATGGATGGAAGTAATAGCAGAAAACTTCCCAAATACAGGGAAACTGACATTCAGGTAACCAAAGCATATGGAACTCCAAATAACATCAACCCAATTAAAACCACACATAGACATATAATAATCAAGATCCCAGAAATTCAGCACAAGAACAGTATTATAAAAGCCGCTAAAGAAAAGAAACAGATCACATTTAAAGGAAAAACCATCAGGATAAGAGCAGATTTCTCTTCACAAGCCATCAAGTCAAGAAGAGCATGGAGCAAAGTACTTCAAGTCTTGCAAGAAAACAAATTCCAACCCAGACTGATATACCCTGAAAAACTCTCTTTCAAGTATAATGGAGAAGTGAAATACTTCCATGACAAAGAACAACTAAAGAATTTCATGATGACAAAGCCAAGCCTACACAGACTACTAAAAGATGTTCTAGAGAGGGAGCAAAATAACACAACTCCATGAATGAGAATGGAAAGAACCCACCAACTAGGGCAAACAATTAAACACAGGAGAATAAGAGGTATATAAAAGCAGTCTTTCAGTTATTCTTTTGAATACAGCAGCAAAATATTTCCATCAGCACACTCTACAAATGGGCTTCTCCTGCACCCTATAGGTCATGATTCTGTCTGGGTCTACAGGGTGGATGTCAAGGAAATAGCAGTAGCTCAGTCCCACAAGTGACACCTGGGCACCAGTAAGTGTTATGGACATTATCCATGTCCATGACACACTAGAACTTTGTGCGATATCCTATCCCCAAACTAGAAGTGCTGGTCATTCATTTGTTATGCCAGTATTTATCTTTTTTTTGTTTTGTTTTGTTTTTGGGGTTTTTTTGGCAGTTCCTGGGATTGAACTCAGAGCCTTAGCACTTGCCAGGCAAGCGCTTATTCTATTGAGCTATCTCCCAGCCCCCAGTAATTCTTTACTATCATGAAAATTTTTTCTTAGTTCAATTGTTTTGAAACATTTAATTTTTAATTAATTAGTATTCAGTTTTCTTAATATTGCTTAATCTTAAATTTTAAGATTTATACTGTACATTATAGTGATTCTCAGTGTTATGGTTTGTGTTCTAGTTGTTCCTCCAAAGCCTCATGAAGTCAAGGGGCAGACTTCTAGAGCTTGTGTTCAACTCATGATCACTGGGATAGCTTCTCTCCTGGGAGTAACCAAAATCATAAATAAAGAGCAGTTAAAAGCGAGGTTATTGGAAATGGGGCAATATATTTTCAAAGAAGAAGGCGAGCAAGAGATGGAAAGTGAGAAGCGTAGATAAAAAACAAATGACAAGGGAATATATTAAAATTCTGGGTTGAAGTCATTTGTACTTAAGGAAAAGCATTTCTAGGAAAAATGAACTTCAGGTACTGAGAAAAATAAAATCTCCTGATCAAGGGAAAAGGGATTACAGATCTGAGAAGTGCTAAAATACACCATTCAAGGGGCCGGAGAGATGGCTCAGTAGGATAAGCGCTTGACTGGCAAACGCAAGGATCTGAGTTCAACCCCCAGTTCCGCAAAAAATAAAATAAAATAAAATACACCATTCAAGCAATTGTATTTTCACAGTTGACACTAGAGGGTGCTGTGGGCTTAGTCCTTGGACATCAAGCGACAACTCAAAAGCTTTGCAGGCAGTAGGCACCATTCTCACATACTCTCTGTGGGTTAAATCAAGAGGTCTGACCTGACCGAGGTGCTGAACTCCTGGGCGGGGCAACCTCATTTGCATGAAGACCCAGCCCACATGCCCCTACCAGGGTGTGAAGAGCTATAATGAGAGCTGCAGGGCTGCTTGTGTGCTCAGTGGCCTTGAAAAGCACAGCCCTGGGCTGTCTGCACCATGGCCTGGGCTCCTCTCCTGCTCACACTCCTGGCTCACATCACAGGTCAGCAGGGATTTCTGACTGGGGCTGTGGAAAGCAGCGGTGTTGCCTCTGTCTCTTCTCCTGACCATCCCTTTCCTCACTTCTTTTCAGGGGCTGAATCTCAGGCTGTGGTGACTCAGGAATCTTCACTATCCATCTCTCCTGGAGGGACAGTCACACTCACCTGTGGCTCCAGCACTGGGGCTGTCACAACCAGTAACTATGCTCACTGGTTGCAACAGAAATCCTGTGAAACACCACAAGGCCTAATATCTAATACCAACATCCGGTACAGTGGTGTCCCTGCCCAATTCTCAGGCTCCTTGCTTGGAGACAAGGCTGCCCTCACCATCAAAGGGGCCCAGTCTGAAGACGAAGCCACCTATTACTGTACCCTGTGGTACAGCAACCATTTCCACAGTGACACGTGTGTATGGGGAAGTGAGACCAAAACACCCATGTGCAGCAATACCCCATGCTCCTCAGAACCTCCTTGCATACAAACACAAGACAGAGTCAGGTCTGGTATCTGACAAGGATGAGAATCTTCAGAGAATTAGGTAACCAGTTCTCTGAAGAGAGGTAACCAGTGTAACAGCCCCAGTGAGCTACACCTTCATCAAAATGTGCCCTTCTGTAACCCTCTCCTGAGTGTGGGCTGCACTGCGTGACTGGTGTAGTAAATTTGAACATAAATGATGTCATAAAGGAAAACACATCACTCAGGACGTGAAAGTAGCTCCATGCTGGCCGCTCTCTGAACAGCTGAGGAATGAAGTTTCTTCCACCTCAAGACTGTCCAGAGTCCTTTAATTGGAGTCCTTTAATTGGAGTCACAGGCTCCAATTAAAGGAGGAGAAGGCTGGGGAGATAGCTCAGTGGCATAAGCCCTTCCTGGCAAGTGCAAGGTCCTGAGTTCGATCCTCAGTACAATAAATAAATAGATAAATAAATAAATATAAAAATAAAGGAATAGAGAACTCTCAGGGGAGAAGTAGAGAAGTCATGTCATCGAGCAGTGCAGCCAGATATTGGAATGTCCAAAAGCTAGAAAGGCAGCAAACAGCTGGAGTTTCATGGTCACCAGATATATTTAATGGATCAATAATGAAGTTAAATCCCCTTTTAATATATGCACCAACCAGGCAGACTCTAAATAGCTCAAACTATGTTATTTTCTCCATTTAAAGAACCTTCATTGTGAACTCTGACAGCTTTGACTTCCTAGTTCCAACCTGCTGTAAGAAAGTAAACGACATGGGGGCCAATACACAGAAGTTTTAAAGTCTTGCATATGGGTGGTTTCTACCAATAAAATAGTTAAATGAATGGATACCACTACTGAGATTAAATTAGAAACATTATGGTTTGTGTTGGTTGCTTTCTTTTGGATTAGCTTCCTGAAAAATTGCAGCAAGACAGCAAGCTAAAGCTGCCAAAACCCTGTGAAGGACCATCCGGGCAACTCTCCTTGAAAGAAGAGCAATTGACTCCGTTTTGGCTGTCTGACCCTATTTTCATGTATTGATATGGAGAGCTGGCTTGGACTTTTTCTTATCCCTTCCATTGGCTTTAAGCAATGCATATTGGTCCAGCTGAGGTGCTGGTGTGTAGGGAGCTGCTCCTGGTCCTGGTCTCAGTCCAAGAAGTTTACATTTGTAATCCCAAAGATAAGTTTTTGGAATCCCACCAAGTTACTTCCAATCTACCTCTTCCAGTGCAACCCATGGCAGGAATAAAGACACTAAAGCATATTTATTATGATGGGGAGACAAGGGGTCCTAAGAACAGCCATGAAGAGAGCTATCTGAAACAAAGGCTCCATCCTGGGCCAAACTCAGGTTTTACTGTTATGAAGGAGGAGTGGCTTGAGGATGAGTGACTTAGAATGGCAGGGGGTAGGTGAGTACTGTGAGCTGGGCTAGGTAGGAGGGTTGCATTTACTCTGTCACCTGCAGTGAAGGATATGCAAAAATAGTGGTTTCCATTACAATATTGAGATAGTATTTAATGTTTTGGGGTCTGGTGCTTCAGCTCTGATGTGTAATCTTTTAAGCCCCAGGAAGTCATAGCCTCTATCTTGAGGCTCAATCCCATCTGACAGTGTGGAACACTGCCTCTTCATCCTATCTCAACCCTGCTCATATTAAACAGCAATAGGTGGGAGTTACCAGGGAAACACATGTGTCTCCCTCAAAGACTACCACCAACACCTCAGCTAGACCAATATGCATTGCTTAAAGCCAATTAAAAGGATAAGAAAAAATTATATATATATACATATATATGAAAATAGGGTCAGGCTCAGTCCAAATGGAGACAATTGCTCTTCTTTCAAGAAGAGCTGCTCATTTGGTCTTCCACACTGGTTGTAGTCTTTGAAGAGTGCAAGTGTGTTTCCCCAGAACCCCCAGCTGCTACTCTATACTGTGAGCCAGGATGAGAAGGGTGAAGGGCCAGTGTACCCCACCAACAACTGGGATCCAACATAGAGATAGAGGCTATGACTTCCTGGGACATGAAAGATTACACATCAGAGCTGAAATGCCAACCCCAACACACTAGACACTATCTCAGGAGTGTGATACATATTACTTTCTGCACATCCCTCTCTCTGCATATTGCAGAGGTAAATGCAGGCCTCCTACCTAGCCCAACTCACAGCACTCACCTACTTCCTGCCACTCTCACAGTCACTCATCCTGAAGCCACTGTTCTTCATGAATGAATAAAACCTGGATCACGTCTTTGTTTCAGATAGCTCTCTTCATGGCTATACTTAGGACCCCTTGGCTCCCCATTATAATAAATATGCTTTAGTGTCTTTATTCCTGCCATGGGTTGCACTAGAAGTGGTAGATTGGAATTAACTTGATGGAATTCCAATAATTTATGAGATTACAAATATCAGCTTCCTGGATGAGACAATATGGTTCTCTATAAAAACCAAAGTGACTGAGATCAGAAGTGGATCCTCCCACTAACCAAGCCTTCAGTTTATACAGGCCCTGATGACAGCTTGTCTCCAACCCACTCAAGTATCTTGAGCCGCAGCCATCCAACTATAATTCACCATATAATTCCAGCTATCCACCATATAATTCCATGATTTCCAACTCATAGAAATTGGGAGATAGTAGGTGTTGATAAGATACTAAGGTTTAAGTCATCAATTGAGAAATCTTTTGTTTCAGATTAAAAGATTCCAATATTGCATGAGAGAGTGAAACCCTTCCATGCTTCTGGAGCACTTTCTCAGGAACATGCTGGGCTCTGCAGAGGTTGTGTCAGCGCAGTGGCTCATGGTCATGTTCATGTATCCTATGCATAAGGTGAATGTTTCCTGACATTTTCAGCTCAATAGAGTAAAAGGATTCATATTTTCTGCACATAGCAAAAGCTTTGAGCAAAAACTCATCCTCTAGAGCATCTGGCATACAACTCTGATAAAAGCAGAAAAGACTGAGATCTGTGAGTCATTCTAAAGCCTTAGTGCCCAGTGCACAGGAAAGCATCCCTAAATCCCTTGATGTTTGTACAGAATAGTAAGTGAAGTCAAAGACATGAGCCAAAGACAAACATTTATTCCTTAAAAGTCAACACTAGAGTTGCCTTACTCACTAATTCTACCTCTGTAGATTGAAATACTCTGGACCAATATATTCTTTGAGATATTTTTGCTTTTATTCAATAAATCATGTCAATTTAAATTAATAGATTTTTATCTGGGCATGGTAGCTTGCCTCTGGAATCCCAACTCTGCAAAGGCTGAGGAGGGAAGGTCGCTGCAATCCAAGGTTAGCTTAGGACACATACTGAATTCAAAGCTAGTCGGAACTACACAATGAGGCCCTCCCTCCAAACAGACCTGAAGGATTTACTGTGCAGCTACATAGCCAAGTAGTTATGCCAACTGTACACAAACTTGGGAATATAAAATTATGCATAATAATCTAAATATAGTTAAAAACATTAAAATGCTAAACATATTTGCTTAGATAAATTTCATTAGCCTTTCCTTCTAAACCTATAATATTCCTGTAATCCCAGCACTGGGGAGGCTGAAAACAGGAAGATCACTAGGAGTCTGATCTGTATATGAGACCATGTAAAGCCCATATTAAGAGTACAATAAATAAATAATAAATAAATAAACCTATAATATTATTTACATCACAAAAATAACTTATATAACAAATAGCACCACAGTTTACAACACATCCATTTCCCCCAACAAACAATGGGACCAATTTTATCATTCTAAATAGAAAAATACATATAATACACAAGATATATAGAGGAAATATTAATAGGGGAAATATTTCACCTTAGCCATAAATCATTTTTTGCATCTGCATGGAAATATACAGTCCCTTTTTTACTTGTCAGTGTTACCTAAACAGTACAGCATAACAACTATTTATATATCATATATATTTTATTAATATAAGTAACCTAGTAAATTAAAGCATAGAGGAAGATGTGCATAGATTTTGTACAAACACTGCACCCATATTATATAAAAATTCTAGCTTCTGTGGATTTGTTGTTTGGGGGCTCAGTCTTGTATTTTATGATGATTCTAGGGATAACATTTATATCTCATTCACATTTTAATTTGAAGTTAAAACTATTACACCCCTTCCCCTTTCTCCCAGGCAAACCAAGCACTTTGGAAAACTATACTTGGTACTCTATTATTTCTCTTTTTATTTTTATTGGTACATGTTGCCAATGTACACAACCACTATAAAATCAATACAGAGATTCCAAAAAATTAAAATTAGAAACTGCATTCACCTCATAAATTCCTTTTCCAGGATCTTCCCAGACAAGTTAAAACATCATATTATGTGACTTGTACACACCTGATACATGTACATAGCAGCATAAATCATGACAGCTAAGACTGGGAGGTGTCAGGTCTGCCAGCAGATAAATGGATGAAGACAATGTGGTATTGATCTGCAATAAAGCACTGTTCTGCAATAAGGAAAGATAAACGTGGGTGATGGATAAGAAAGTCGATTGTTGAGACTGTTTCATTAAAATAAATCAGACACATGCCTACATGATTCCTAGTTTCTCTTAGGGGACTAGCCTAAACCATAAATAAAGAGCAGCTAAAAGACAGGTTATTAGAAATGGACAGCAGTGTATTTGAAGAGAGAAAGGGGACTTAGAAATAAAAGGGCTAAGTAAAGGGTCCATGAAAAAGAAGTAAGAAGCCTTAGATACTTAAGCCATCTGCCCACTTTGAATGTTATGATTTTGCATTGCAAGAACATACTGAAATGACTTAAAGCACTCTAATAAATGCATCTAAATTTTTGTATTTAATTTTTTTCTTTTTCTGAAATTTTCATTTTTACATAAGGACATTAGGTTATATTGCTCACTTTTCTCCAATTATATTTTATGTCTCTACATCTTTAACCAAATTATTTGGGTTCCACCTAATAGTTAAAACTGAGAGGTGTCAGGTCCGTCAACAGATAAATGGATGAAGACAATGTGGTATTGATCTGCAGTAAAGTACTGTTCTGCAATAAGGAAAGATAAACGTGGGTGATGGATAAGAAGGTTGATGATTCTTGAGACTGCTTCAATAAATCAGCGGTGGGCCTAACAATATGTTAAAAATGTTAACAATATGTTCCTTGAAGTAATTTCCCTTAATTATAAGGGGACTGTTTGTGGCCAAGAATTTTAACATATTCCCTTCCTATTTCTTTCTTATCTAGATCCTGCCTGTATCCACTGGTGATTCTGACCTCTATTCCATCTCCTGCCTGAAATACATCCTTTCTTTCTGCCAAAGCCAAGGACCCCTTCCCTGTGACACTTTTCTAGTTCAATTAAGGAGGAACTTACAGGCATGGGCTCTACAATCAGTGCTCATTTTGAGCATGAGCCAAGGTACAGAATTCTGAAACTAAAGGTCACCTCTGAATCTGCTGATAGGAATTCAGTGCCTTGTTGAGCCCAGGCAGAAGCATCTGGAAAATCTTTAGCTCTCCAACAAAAATACAGAGATGCAAAGAACCTACCAAATGTGGAGGGCTCACCTCCTTCCCTTGTGGTTTCTTTCATGCCATGAAAACAAAACAATCTACCAGTTTGGCACAAATCTTCCTTCTGGAGGAGAGGATGGAATACGTATGACTTTTCCAGGACCTCTCATTTGCTGATACCATTTTTTCATCAATCCTTCCTGTCCCCAAAATCTCCTTGCACTCAGAAGGAAAGCAGCCTCTTAGGACCTTCCCCTGGGAACCTGGTGTGCAGAGTATTACCACACTTTGTTCTCTCCTTCAACATCATGACACTCCCTGCCTCCTGCTGTCAGGAATAGCAGTCAATGGATTACAGCTGCTGAGCTCTCTGCCCATCCCCATGCAACAAAAAGATCTGAGTTGTCCATAATCTCACTTTCATCTTGTAAACCTCACATGTAAATAGCTTTTGCCATGATAGATATATATTTATTCATGTTAAGAAAGAAAATGAAAAAAGAAAGAAAGAAAATCTGAAATAATTTACACTCATAGAATGAAGTGCACCCTAAAGCTATTGTTCCAGGCCTGCACTCACTTCCACATCATTTAACTTAAGAGGTCTAAATAGTCTGCTCATCCCACTGAAGACAGCATATTAAGCAGACCACATAGACAGGAGGTGATGAGCTCAACAAATGAGTGAGATAGGAGAAAGCCACTGAAATTTCAGGAGCCCATCATATCCCTGAGGTTCCAAGGGGTCTTTTATCATGTGGCAAGACAAGAGCAAACATCTCCTCCACAGGAAGTGAAAGTGTTGCATCTCCCAAGGTCCGTCCTCACAAAACACACTTAACAGAAGCCAGAGGATGAGCCTGGTGGCATGAACTCCTGCACGAGTTCACGAGTTGCGGTGGCATGGCAGCGGCTCTGGAGGAAGAGATGATAATAAAACTCTGGCTCTTCCTAATGGCAATCGGATTCTGATGGCTCCAAACTGCAAGATCATTTTTTAATCTTATAACATGGACCATGCTTCACCTGCTACCCTCTCAAGAAATGGAATGGTGTTCATGAGTTCTTCCATGCTTGATCAGAGTCCTGTTTTCTTCTTTTGAAGAAGGAAAAAGGAAAGCTAATCTTTTCTGCAGCTGATGGTAAAATTGCCTTTTGGTGCTAGTGTTTCTAGAACAACCTTGACGGCCTAGGCACTTTCCAACCCTGCAGCTCATAATCGTCAGGCCTCTTCTGATCACTTTAGAACGAGGATTGCCAGGTAACTGCCAGCCGTCTGTGAATCAGTAATCCTGCCAGACGGGTCTAAGGACCGAATAAGTAACACTTTAATTTGATCAGTTTTTGGATTCATGATATTGCATTTATTTATTTGGTGGTTCATCAGTTACTCTGTTAGGTAGGTAGTTGGGTTAGTACCGGGGGTCGAACTCAGGGGGTAGAGCTTGCTGAGCTATCTCTCCAGCCCAGATTCTTCA